TCAGGTACTCAAATTTTTTCGATATTCCGGTCTCGTTACAATTTTACATCCCATCTTGAAATACTCATAAATTATACGGAATATTATACGGAAAAATTCTGTCGAAAAATGCCATTACCAGCTCTGGAAAAATGACAGTCTACTGCTCCTCAATATTTCGACTACTATTTTCTAGCAGCCTTACAGATTTTCTAAGGATTTCTGTGGAAATTATATTTCGATAAGAGTCAGTTACATAATATAATTTTCAATGTCCCATTTTTCCTAGGGCAAATTACGTGATTTTTAACAAACCTCATTAAAAAATAATGAATCGTTGTGGGAGTGTATAGAATGGCAAATAAAAAGTACCGGAAAATTCAAAAATTTTTAATGATACCAATTACAAGTAAACAAAATAGGGCAAATATTGGTAATTTACTTAATTTATTTTTCCTTAATTAATATACAAATAAACAAATGATTTTATAGATAATCTAAAAAAACGATTTTTGGAAAAATCGGTCTATCTCGAAAAACGCCTGACCGATCGACCTGAAATCTTGTCCGGATATACTCTCAAATAATCTCCAACATTCCCCAGAAATTCAGATTTTCCGCATGAACTTTACTCCTTTTTATGAATTCTTGTTTTTTCGAAAATCTAAAAATCCAGACCCACATTCACTTCATATTTTCACATTTCATAAAATTTCCACGATTTTCAAACAAAATGATAAAATCGGGAAACTGATTGATAAACCTTCCACTCCGAAGCAAAAGTAATAAATAAAAATATTGATGACGAAAAGTACCTCAAAAACAATATTAATCCCCACAGTGAGCCAACAATGAAAATTAATTCTACCAATTCGAGTAAGCACTCACGAATACCCGGCAATAATCATTCCTCCAATATTAAATAATTCAAAACCAATGAACGAGATAATGGGATTGTCGTTGGACAAACTATCTGCTATTGCCATATATCTGATTGGATTATGGCTCACTGGGCGGTGAATTAATCATACCGTTGGGATTTTACAACCCCTACCTCTGTCCTGGGAAAATGCACTCCAGTCTGTTGAAATTAATCGACTTGTCTACGTGCAACATTGACACCCTTGTTGTTTGTCAATGGCAACAGAATTTTTAGAGCTCCAGCTTGAGAATAATGAGACATGGGTAATACAAGCTGCCGCATACATTGTCTTTACAATTTCCTTATCTCGATGTCCCAAAATGTGATGAATTCAAAGGGTATAACGACGGTGTCAGAGACTAGATCATGGGGAAAGGGAGTACCAGTGAGATAATCCCGGGGGATTCCCTGCCAGAGGATTAACGGCCGACGCTTTCGGGGATTCCCTTTGGTATTTCTGGTGGAAGACATACCCAACTGATCACTGTCACTCTGATGTGGTGAACAATGTTGCCCTCATTGCCCTTGTTGCCATAATGCTCCCCTCAATTCACCTCGAGATTCTCCATAGAAAATGGCCGATTGTT